GCTTGGCCAGCCTGGGTGAGGGGCTGATTGCTGTTTGCAGGCTGGCCACAGCCCCTTCAGGGTGGGGGGGTTCCCGTTGGGGTGCTTGGCCAGTCTGGTTTAGGGGCTGAGGGCCATTTTCAGGCTGGTCAAGCCTCCCAGTGGGGACTCTCACTCCATGGGGGTGTGGCCAGCTGGGTGAAGGGCTGAGGGGTGTTTTCAGGCTGGCCACACCCCCTTCGGAGGGTGGGGGGCGGTCCCGCAGGGGTGCCTGGCCAGCCTCGGTGAGGGGCTGATGGCTGTTTTCAGGCTGTCCATACCCCCTTCATGGTGGGGGCCCCCACTGGGGTGCCTGGCCAGCCTGGGTGAGGGGCTGATGGCCGTTTTCAGGCTGATCACTCCCCTGGGCTGGAAGCAATTATCTGGGATTTATTTATCTTCTATAATTGAAACTTTGTAGCCTTGAGCAGAGCTCAGGGGAGGCCAGGGCAGGCTGGAAGCTTGGCTTCCTCCATTGCCAGGGCAACCCAAGCTTCCTGCTCGCTCCAGCTCCATGGTCGCTGCCATCTTTGTGACAGAGAGATGGAGTGAGGGAGTGATGGTTAATTTGCATATTACTCTTTTATTAGATAGGATATACATATATATGTATAAACATATATAAATACATTACAGATTTTTATAAATACATAAATACATTACACTTATTTATTTAAATATAGAGACTATTCCCCTGGAACACCTATATCTCTTAGTAGTTGTGGGACCAACTGTCTCTACAGGGGCATTGAGTGATACTCTGTGATTCCCTGAGGTTTTGCTGGTGGAAAACTAACTGCCAGTGACAGTTTCTGAATTATATCTCCTCTGATTAACAAACCATTCATTCATTCATTCATTCATTCAGAAAATATTTATTGCATGCTTACTATGTGCCAGTCACTCTACCATGTTCAGCTCTTCTCTGATAAAATAAAGCAGACATTTCTCACCCTTGGAGTTTACTAGATAGTTGGAGAGAAAGACATTATACAAATAACTATCCTATCTAATAAAAGAGAAACATGTAAATTGACCATAACCCTGACACCCTTCCCATTGGCTAATCAGCAGAATATGCAAATTAACTGCCAACCAAGATGGTGGCTGGAAGCCAGGCAGCTGAAGTGAACAGGAGGCATGCTTGCTCCTGTGATGGAGGAAGCCAACGTTCCCCGCCTGCTGCTGCCGGCATCTGAGCTGCAGTCTAAGCAACTATGTTGCAATTATAGAACCTAAACGAACCCCAGAAACCTGCTTTCAGCCAGCCGGGCTTCAGCCAGCAGGACCGTAACAGTGTTTCAATTATAGAACCCAAACAAACCCAGTACGTGCTTTCAGCAGCCGAGGTCTCAGAGCTAAAGCCAGCTCTCAGCTCCAGTGACAACCATAAAAGGTAAATAAATCCCAGAATTAAAAAAAAAAGAAAAAAGAAGAGGTTGGGAGTTTCAGTCACCCACCAGCCTGAAAACGGCCCTCAGCCCCTCACCCAGACTGGCCATGCACCCCAGTGGTGACCCCACCCTGAAGGGGGTGTGACCAGCTGCTAACAGCCATTATCTCCTCATTCAGGCTGGCCAGGCACCCAAGCGGTACCCCCACCCTGAAGCAACAAGATGGCGGCTAATTTGCATACTGAAGGCGGGTGGCAGTGGGCAAGGCTGTCCGTGGTCTGGGACCTGGATCCGTGACCTGGTGGGCAGGGAGGCAGTGCTTGAGGCTGTCCACGGTCTAGGACGTGGATCCATGTCCTGGCGGGCAGGGGGCAGCGCTTGAGGCTGTCCGCGGTCCCGGGACCTGGATCTGTGACCCTTCCCGGTGGGGCGGCAGCTCGCACAGGGGCAGATTGGCCAGGGTTGGGCAGGGCAGGATGCCTGGCTTCTGCCCAGCCCCAGTCACTCTGGGCAGGTGAACAGTGCAGAGATCCTCTGGACAGGGGAGGCAGGTCGGCGGAGGGCGGCCTGTACTCCCCACATGGCGGTGGCGACAGCTGTGAGCGCCAAGCAGAGCCTACAGGCTGAGCTGAAGTAGCGCCTGCAGGCCATCAGCACCCAGGAGTGGCTGTGCAAGATCCGCCTCCTGGTCCAGAAGGTGCAGGATCGCAGGGACAGCCACTGTGGCGGGCCAGACTGATATCCTCCTGACTGCACTCAGGGGGTTGCGGATATGCAAAGCTAGAGGCCTCTGTTGTACACATCCTCCACTGGCGTGCGAATATCCCCCAGCACACTGTCAGCCTCCCACACCTGCAACAGTTGCAAACCAAGGCGTGCACAAGTTCCCCCCCGCCTCTCCACCGCACTTCCATCAACCCAGCATGCCTAACACCCCCACAGGATGTGCACACATCCCCTCTGACGCGCTCACATCCTTTGGAGAGTGTCTGGGTGTTCTGGGTGCTGAGGGTGGGCACCTGTGAGATGACAGTGAGAGGGCAGAGTGGTGATGCCCTGTTCCCACGGAGGCCAGTGCAGCTACGAGATCACCTCTGGGGGGTTAATGCAGGTGCTGAGGCAGGAGCAGGTGCAGATAGACACACTTGGCCGTCATGGGTGGCCCTTGCTTAGGTGCCTTCGGTCAGTGTTCAAGATCAACAACCCAGAGGCGGAGAGGAATTCCGTCCTCTCAATGAAACAGTGGGATAGTCGGGGCGACTGTTGAGGAAGAATGTGCACTTTGGGCACCAGCACCCATGAGCAAAGATATATATATAAAAGCCTAAACGACTGAAAGACCAGAATGATCAAAACAACTGGAATGATTGGAACAATCGGTTGACCAGTCGCTATGACGCGCACTGACCACCAGAGGGCAGACGCTCAACACAGGAGCTGCCCCCTGGTGGTCAGTGCACTTCCACAGCGAGAGTACCGCTCAGCTGACTGACCCGACCCGTGACCCACCAGCCTGGCAGCAGCCACTCCCTCCCTTAGTAGCCCTGCAGGTCCAATCTCCAGAGAACAGGCCAGGCACCGATGGATCAGTGCCACTGGCAGTATCTCAACAGCACTGCCAGCACTCCACAAGGAAGAAACAATATAAAAGTGG